AAAGATCAATCCTATAGTTTATTGATTGACGAATCAACCGATATCGCAGTTCATAAATATTTGGGAATTGTTATTATTTATTACAGCTGCACTCACAAAAAAATTATATCTACATATTTAGATATCCCAATGCTCTACGAGTGTGACGCAGACGGCATTGTTKCCGCTATAAAAGCATCACTTACACGATTCGGTATACCCCTAAAACATTTAATGGGCATTGGAACTGACAATGCTGYAGTCATGGTTGGAGTTAATAACGGTGTTTATGCCAAACTGAAAAGAGAAATACCGAGTCTAGTTTTGGTGCGCTGCATTTGTCATTCCTTACAATTAGCAGTCTCCGCAGCAACAAAGGAGTTCTTACCCAGGAATCTCGAATTCATTATTAAAGAAACATATGATTGGTTCAGCCGTTCTTCATCAAGGCAAGCTGCCTATAAAGAACTATACAAACTAATAAACGATGGTCATGACCCTTTAAAAATTGTTCAGTCTTGCCAAACTAGGTGGCTTTCTCTAGAGTCCGCAGTTGCACGGATTTACACACAATGGCTGGAACTGAAAACACATTTTAATATCGCAAAATTAAATGAAAGATGCTACACAGCCGAATTGCTGCATGCAATGTACTCTGATGATGTGAATTATGCATACATTTCATTTATTTATCCAATTCTCACTAATGTTAACAGGGTTAATAAATTATTTGAATCGAAAGACGCAGATCATTCTAAACTGTATGACGAACTGACTAATTTAATTGATACACTTGTTGACAAGATAATATTGCCTACCCAGAAGGTAGATATTTTTACGCAAAATATTCAAGATTTTATAGATAATAAATGCTATCTGGGGTACAGATTTGAAATTCACTTGTCTCTTATACACATCTAGATTTGTATAAGAATAGATAATAAATGCTATCTGGGGTACAGATTTGAAATTCACTTGCAAACAATGAAAGATAAAGGACTTCCGCCAAATCAAGAAGAAATAATCCGCAATAGGTGCATCCAGTTCATTGCATCTTTGATTCAAGAATTGARAAACAGATTGCCCGAAAACTTGAAACTCATGAAAAGTATTCAGAAAATCAGCGTAGAACACGCACTATCTCATAACAAAGMACCGATTACTGAATTGATGTTGCATTTTAACAAAAAACAAGAAGATATTGCGAAGATTGACGAGTAGTGGCGTCAAATACATCTACTCAGTTGGAAAAATACAAAAAATACAAAGGAATTTTGGTACGAGGTATTGAAATTCGAAGATATAGCAGGAGAAAATAGATTTCAG